TATAAATCATTGTTTGTAATAACTATTTGTAATAACTGTTATTGTAAATTGTATTGTTGTGTGTATATTAAAACGTATATTCTTGTGATAAAAAGAAAACTGTGTGTATCAATCTTCTTGGCAAATATCATAAACTGACTATATATCAGCTTTTACTTAACTGATAAACCCAAAGTACAATTTAACCACTAAATTTAAATTATCAGTTAACTCAATTTCAAACTATTTGAAATTCTAATACGTAACAATTGATACAAATTTATATTTTGCTTGCAACTAATCAAACGTGGTTGTACATAGGTAAAGATTGATTACATTAACAGAAAAAGAGAGAAAAACCTTTTTTTTTATAACTTTTCACTTTGTGACAGTTACAATATGTGTTTTCTTTTCTTGAGCTTCTTCATGCAGGTTTTGCTCCTGTTATTGTTCCTGCTCCTGTCTAATTTGCTCTGGTACAAGCTTAGTTGGTGGTTGAATTTGGGGGTTGGTGCACATCCAACTGTAAATAGCAGTAACCTTCCTGGCAGTATAATGTTGGCCTGGTTCCATATGATAATTACGACATATTACTGGGGTTACTAACCATTTATAGGCAGGACAATCCAGCTCCTCCAGGTATGTACCCTGCTTCATTTCCAGCCAACACATTTATATCTGATACTGGGCAAAATGTCTCGTCAGCAACGGCATACTTCACAAGGTGTGTAACAGTCCAGATGTTACTTTCTTCTCGTTGGAAACTTGTAGTAAAAAAAAAACTTGTAAAGAAATATGATCAGTTTTATTGCCATACATTCGGACATTCCTTTAACTCAAGAAAGACGTCATAGATTGAATATAAGGTTTTTACGACTCAGTACAAAGGAAACTCCAGTTACTGCTGTGCTTGTCTACATTTTACAGACCCATGGCCGTGTACCCAGAGGTCTCAGCATGAGACCTCGAGGCTTGTCAAATACAGGTCACCGAAAATTTTCTTTTCACCGATAAAAGTTAACAGTGTAGTGGCAAGAGGCTCCATATTGTACACTAATTTACCATCAAAAATGTTTTTATCGATGATCAAAAAACTACTTCAAGATTATATAACATTCTCTCATCCATAATGGACACTATTGGCACCTTATTTCTGTTACTACAATGAACTTTACTAATTTTCGTAAGTCTTATAACACTAAAACTCTATTATCATGTTCTACAGTATGTGAGAAGAGTTTAAGTTTTTTGCAGCTACAGTCAGTGTTGTTATATATCAGACGAAATATATTAGTTTTTGTTTTCATTGAATGACAGAGAACTGATTACTTCTTAAGTAGTGGTCGTTGACATGCATGTGACTAATGAATAAAGATCAAAGCATTGTTCACATAGTTTTACTATTTAGTGCCACTTCTTGGAGACTTCCTTTGTTCTAGATTATACATATATATATATATATAGCTATACTACTATTAGTTACATTAATTGTCAATATGTAATTAAATTAGCACTATAAAATAACAATGAACTTAAAATAAACAATCCTTACAATAGGACGTTCATGATGTTAGAAAAACACGTAGGTTCAAGAAGTCTTGATAGAAATGAATAAAAACCCTATCACCTGAGCGCTTTTGAAAGGTGGACTTTTCTTCTTTCGAAAGCGCTCGGGTTATAGGGTTTTTATTCATTACAATAGATCTAAAATTAAACAATTATTTTCCATTATCAGTCGTAGTTGTTAACATTAAGTTATAGCAAATAATGTCAGTGGTCATAGCACCAAAACTTATTGGGTATATTCCATCTATCAGACAAAATCCAGATACTTATTTCAAATTAGCCAGTAGCTATGGAAAATCATTTAAGGGTTAGGAATTGAGTGCTTAAGGCCACAATGTCTCAACTCCTACTGCTTTTTGCAGTCTGCAGCTAGTTGTGGGAAGGAAGTTACCCTTAATACTCAGCTACAATTCTAAAAGTAGAAATAAAACCATCCTAAAAATTCTATGAGGTAAAACTACCAACCCCCATCCTTTTAGTTATAAAATGATATTAAACAGAACTAAAAACCTTAACTTAATAGTTCTAAAACTCCCAACCTTCTCCCTTTCATATGGAGATTTGTTCAAGTATAACCCAGGCGAACCCAGACAAGCCCAGCTACCTGAAGTTAATCTTTCCATCCAGGTATACTGAACGAAATTAAATTTTTATAGTTAGTTACTTATAAGCCAAAGCCAAGGATAACCTTAAGTAACTAACGACCTTTAAGTTCTCCACAAGGTAGTTTCCATAATCGATAATTTGCTTTATAAAGTAATTTCATATTTATTATAAAAAAGGTTTTTTTATTTGCCAGTTTAAGTAATGTACATGGATATTATTACTATTACTTCTTTTCATGATAATTTCTTTTGGACATATTAAGTTTGGAATAAAATTCACGTTGTTGATGGAGATTAAATATCTATATAACGAAAGGCATAATGTATAAATTAGGGTTCAATACCAGTTTCAAAAATGAGTTTTCATAGAAGAACAGTAAAGGTTGTCAATGTTTGAAACGAAATTAACAACTATCAGAATACCCATTGTTTGTCTATATACTTGTTCATTGAAAGTAATATAACTGTTGGATACAAAAATTAAGTATATTTTTATATTGCCACTTAGTAAATTTTGGAATAATTACTTTTGTATCTACAAGATTATTAAATAAATATTTAAATACACTGATTACATATTTTAAATCTATTTTAATATACTGTTACGACAGCGGTAGTCACGTGACGCTGGAAACACGTCATGATATTTTAGAACAGGGGTCACCAAATTTTTTTCACAAAGGGCCAGATAACTGAGAGAATGACGAGCGCGGGCCGCATAACCATTTTGTTCAATACAATACAGTGAATACACAAAAAATAAAGACAACAAACATGCTTATTTACCAAAAAGTTATCAAAGAAGGCGACGTTAGCAATAAGATAATTATATCACACCCAGTGCGCATACATCCGAATCTCACAAACTAAGCAGTAAAAAACGTTGGTGAGATTTGTGAAACTGGCGTTTAGCTTTTGATATATCATCAATACTTGCTTTGGAATTGCTGCATCCAACCAAGAGAATTACTTTCAAATGTTCATTAGTCAACCTCGTTCGATGTGCTGAC